ATGCCTATTACCTTAGCATCATAATTAACATCCACCCTCCCTTTTGGTTTTTGAAAAGTCAAGTTTGAATAACTCATATGGTCAACCTACCAATGACCTTTCCATTATTAAATCTAATGGATATTTTTCAGTCTTCTCTTACTTATTAGTGGCATTTGACAAAGTCTATCATTCCTTTCTCCTGAAAAGTCTCTTCACTTGGCTTCTAGGACACTACATCTCTTATTTTTCTCCTGTATTATGGGTGATTTATTTCTGTCTCCTCTGGTGAGACTCCCACCCCCTTCCTCTGCTTGATCTTGTAACACTGGAATACCTCATGGCTCAGTCCTTGGTTCTCTTCTCTATTTAATCTATATAAACTTCCTCAGTGATCTCATCTAATTTAATGGCTTATAAACACCTCTTATAGGCTGATCATTCCCAAACTGATGTATCCAGGCTGGATGTTACTACCAAACTTCAGATATATGTCTACTTATCATCTCTACTGGATATATCAAAGATAACATATAAAAAATTGAATTAGAATTGATGTTCTCCTTCCTCCTCGCACTCAAAAACAAAACAAAACAAAACAAAAACAAACAAAAAGGTGCCATTCCACCTTCAGGTTTCCCCCATCTCAGTGGATGGTATATCATCTATTTGGCTACTTAAGCCAAAAACTCTAAAGCAATACTTCCTTCTCTTTCTCATTCAATGATGATTTTTCTCAGAAGACATTTTTCTGACCCAGGATAAACAGTTTCAAAATGGATAAATTTTTGTGGATTATTGGACAGTTTGACTGGAGAGGAAAGAAGAGAAAGAAATGCTCTGCAGAGGGCAGGGAGGGGAAGTTCTTTCAAGGTCACCAATGACTAATGATTTTATGTCCACTTTTGTCCAGGACAGTTCTGATTTATGTCTCTTGTCTTGGCATAATATTTAATAGAATCCCTTTTCAGTTTTATAAATATCTAATAGACATGATAAAAAGTATATGGTCAACCCTCCAAATCCTGTTGGTTCTTCCTTCAAAATATATCCAGAATTCAAGTACTTCTTCCTGTGCAAGGCACCATCTCCTCTCACTTGCTGCATTTTGTCTCTCTGCTTTTGACCTTGCCTTCAGAGCATGTCACTCTTATGTTCAAAACCTTGCAATGCCTCCTCATTTCATTAAATAAGTACCAAAGTCCTCGCATAGCCTACAAAGCTCTAGTTAATTTGTCTACCTCTTTCATTATCCTTTCTCACCTCATATCTTACTCTTTCCCCCTCAGGTCTCTGCTCCAGGTAGGTAGCACATTGTAAATTTTAACAAAATTAGGATTCTGTTAGCAAGGAAAAAAGGGAAGAATGTATATCCAATAGGCAACAGAGGAGCAGATATGTTAGAAATGGAAAATAGAAAGGGAAGAGAACTTCACAGAGAATAGAACTTTGAGAAACAAGTGCATTTAGGGGCAGGTGAAAAAAAATGGATCATCATAGGACAGAAAGCAAAAAGACTTAAATATGTAAAAGGAAAATAGCATTGTTAAAAGAGTTATTCAAGTTTTATAATATTAGGTTTATATAATGTTATGACACTTTTCTAAATTATTTTTAAATATGAGGAAAATAATTACATCATGATTCCATAAGTCATGGCTGTCTGATAATTGATATTAACATTCTTTTTCAAATGGAGCATTAATCGGGGCGCCTGGGTGGTTCAGTCGGTTAAGCGTCCGACTTCAGCTCAGGTCATGATCTCGCGTTCTGTGAGTTCCAGCCCCATGTCAGGCTCTGTGCTGATAGCTCAAAGCCTGGAGCCTGCTTCAGATTCTGTGTCTCCCTCTCTCTCTGGCCCTCCCCTATTCATGCTCTGTCTCTGTCTGTCTCAAAAATAAATAAACGTTAAAAAAAATTCAAATGGAGCATTAATCAATACAAAGAACAACAAAAATATAGTGTAGGTTCCTGGGGCAGATGGCTGGGGCAAAAAAGGAGGAAATAAATGGTTGTCTAATTCTCTACAAACACCAGATGCTGTAACTATTCTATAACTGGTGATACATTAGATTACTTCAAAGATGTCAAAAAGTGAAATCATTGCACGGCCAGCTAATGTGTCTCTTTAAATACATGTTTCACCTTCCTGAAGAAAAATATTTCCCATTGTGAATGCAGTTCCACAGTCACAATAACAAGATTTTTTAGAACTTTTTTAAAAATTTTTTTTAATGATTATTTTTGAGAGAGAGACAGACACAGAGCATGAGCAGGGGAGGGGCAGAGAGAGAGGGAGACACAGAAACTGAAGTAGGCTCCAGGCTCTGCACTGTCAGCACAGAGCCCAACACAGGGCTGGAACCCACGAACAGGGAAATCATGACCTGAGCCAAAGTCAGATGCTTAACTGACTGAGCCACCTAGGCACCCCCAAAATGTTTTTTAAACAGCTGTTTTTCAAAATGTGATCTATACAATAAATAACCTCACCTGAACCAAGCCAGAAATTGGTTATATACTTGTGTCTCCCAGGGCTAATGATTAAATCTGAATTTCTTTTCACTTTTAGCTTGATATGTTCAGGTTGGCATGTATATGAATCATTGTTGCTACCAAATATATTTTGATTGAGATCATTTTGATGGCTAGAATTCCAAAATCTCATGTAAACCTGAAAGAATTTTCAAGACTAAAAATGGAAAATTTACTTAAACTTTCATGTAAGTCTGTCTTGGGTTAATGTGAAGTTAAAAAAATAATAATGGAGAAGATAATGCAGTGTTTGTAGTATTTGAAACAACGTATTTTTTCTTTTAAAAACAGGTAAAATTCTTTGGTGCAACTGTTCTGACATCAGTATTTATATCAAATTAGCCATATCTACTTGATACCCTATTTTAGCATTTTTCTCATTGGAAGGGAATATGCTTTACCTTCTTTATACCTCCATTTATTTTATGGGAACTACAATTTCAATAAACAGAAAGTATAAATACAAAGTGGTGTTCCTTTTTCTTCCCTTACTATAATAACTAGCTGTGGGAAATATTTTAATTATTTATCAGAAAACAATTTTAATTTCTCTTATCTTCAATATAGCTAATGTTAAAATGTTACCTTATACACTAAAATGAAAAATAGTTAAGTATCAAGGTAAGTAAACAATAATTCCATTCCACTGGCCGTTCTCCATTTCCTCCAGATGCTTGAGTTCTAGGCTGTTCTTCTCTTTGCCCATCCTAAAGGGGAGCTAGCTTTCAATATACAGGAAGATCTTGACCCTGGAAAATGAATCTAAAAGTCTTTAGGGAACTCACAGGCAGTCTCATGCTCCACTTAATTACTAATTCATTCAGGACATTTACATTGAGCACTCACTACTAATTGAAGATTGGGACTACAAAGGGAGACTAGTAATAATCCCTAAGATTAAGGAGTTTATTGTGGTGGGGTGTGAGGGTTAGGGTGAGTAATAGGTAGTTTTAAAATAAGGTGATATAAGTCTAAACTCAGGGAATGACAAGGCGCTATTGGGACATACAGAGAAGACACCTAGCTCAGTCTCAACAACATTTGATAAAGCTTTTTAGGGGAGGTAATGGCTGGTTGAAACCAAAGGTCAGCAAGGATTTAGCTAGGGAAAATTAGTTGGAGGAAGAATATCACAGGAAAAGTTATGTTCAAATGCTCAGAAAAGAAAGAACATACCATATCCTGGGTGCTGCCAGTGCGGTTCAATCTAATTAGAGCACAGTGTGAGTGAGATCATGTGAAAATAAGAAGCTACAGAAGTAAACAATGGGCTTAAAGTACTAGTTCCTCCTCTTAGAAATGTTTTGTTTGGTTGTCTAAGCTAGTAATGGGAATTAAACTCACAATTGAACTACTATTTAATTTGTGAAATTAAGTATTTAATAATTATTAAATAATTATTAGAATATCAGCAAATATATATAATTACATGGTAGGGTTTTCTATTTATCCAGAATGGTTATTTACCGAGTTTAAAGAATTAAAGGGGGGGGGGGGTTGCAATTACCAGTTTTAGAGTCAGCCACTTAGAGATATTGTACCTTCTTAATATTATAGTACAACACTAAGGAAACATGTTATATGAGACAGTAAAGGCAATAGTAAATAGCAAAATAATGAAAATAGTGAATACTATAATACAAATATAAAAATATTTTTAAAAAACTTAGTCATTTCTCAAAACGAATACAACAAAAAAGGTATTAGCAATAAAATTACCTTGGGGATATTAAATTCCTTCACACATGCTATTTACTGGACACTTGGGAGGAATGTTCATTGATCTTGACAAAATGGTGAGCAACTCTCTATACTACTGAAAATTTTAATTGAGGTCAAAATTGCAAATGGAAATAACTTCTCAGAACAATTCAGTAGTATTGCTTTGCTTTAATATATCATGAAGAATGTGCTTTCAAAATATCAAATCTTGGTTTGCCAGGCAGAAGGTAGGGAAGGATTATATTACTTATGATATATGAGTTTAAAATTGACTCAGTGTCAAATTCCTCGAAGAACCAATAGTGAAAACTTCAGGGCAGTTTATTTATTCTGAGTGCCCGGTCCTGTGAGAACTCTGGTCTGTGTTTAGACAATTTGCCAAGCTTCTCTTGGCGACTCATCTTTTTACTTTAATTTTGTTAGATTTTTTCTTTTTTAAATTTATTATTATTATTATTATTATTATTATTATTATTATTATTATTTTGGTCTTCTCTTTGTCATATCTATGAGTCAAAATTCTATTCAGGTGTGCTGACAGTAAAACGAAACCCTGGAATCAAAGACACGTCTTTCTACCGCGGAAACGAGGCTCTAAGCGGATACGCGAGGACACTAAGTGTGAACTGCTGGGCACCCGTAGCTCAGAGTCTCAGGATCAGGCCCCGGCACCGGAAGTGGCCGCCCAGCTTGACTTCCGCTCCCAGGGTAAGAACCCTTGCGGCTCGTCCACCGGTTGCCAGAAAACCGCTAGGAGTCAGGTCATGGAGGCAGCGCGCCCTCCGTCGACGGCGGGAAAGTTTGTGGTGGTTGGCGGTGGCATCGCGGGTGTCACCTGTGCTGAGCAGGTAGGCTGACGCGTCGACAGTTCCGCCTCTTCCCTGACCCCGCGGCGGTGGCACTCAAGGCACCCCCTCGCCCCCACCTTGTCCTTCCAGATCCCGCTTTAGCCGCTTCTTTCCCCCCGCCCCAGCACTCTTTGTTTTCAAATGTTAGAGACTGCGTGGCGGCCCCTCTACGAAGCTCTTGGTACCTCGCAAGCTTCGCCTTAGGCCTAGGGAAGAGGAGTGGGGAGCAAGTTGTTGGCAGGTGGGACCCCAAAGCTGACTGAACCAGACTGTGGTGCTAGTTATGCCAGAGCAGACAAGAGGGCTTAAACTGGTAAATAGTTGGTCAGAAAATTCAGCCTCCATTGCTCGTTAGCTGATTGAATTCAGGTTTCAGGTAGATGCCAGGTCCTTAGTGCCTCGTAAATAATTGAAAAACCCTTACGTAGTTTCCTATACTTTGAACTCCCAAGATAGAAGAGATTTCATCTGTAGTAATGTTTTGTAAAACAACCAACAAGGGATTAAAACCAGCTGGGGAATGCTTTTCTAATTATAGTGAATAATCAGGCTACACACACACACACACTCCAAAAAGAATTGTTTTGTTGATATAAAGTAAATGTAAGCAATCATTGAAGTCACAGAAGTAGTGCAGGAAATCCAAGAATTGTTTTCAAACTTCTAATCTTTAGGTGTGTATTTTCCATGTTTTCACCAAGTGAAACACCTGTTATCCAGGTACGGTACTAAGGGCTGAGTAATCACAAACAGAGCATGGTACCTCACAATCTAGTGGAAGAGACATGTGAATGAACCATTTCATCAGTGTGTTTGCCAACCTAAGGGTGTCTGGCGAGTTGACAGGGCATGAATTAGGGGGAGGTGTCCTTTTGTCTCAGTATAGAAAATGAGTAAAAGTTGACCAGGTGGACAAGAAAAACTAGATGGTCCAAAGGGAGGCAAGGATATATAATCTCAGGTAGGAAAGCACTACTGAGAGCAGCAAAGCTTAAAGAACATGGTGCTTGGGGAGGTGACCAGAGATGAAGCTGGGAAGGCTGGGAGAGACCACATCATGAAGTATCTTATTAAGTCTTGCTAATAACTAACAAGTGGGGCACCTGGGTGGCTCATTTAGTTGAATGTCCAACTCTTGATTTCAGCTGAGGTCATGATTTTACAGTTGTGGGATCGAGCCCCGTGGCAGGCTACATACTGAGCGAGGGGACTGCTTGGGATTCTCTCTCTCCCTCTGCCCTTCTCTCCTGCTTGTGCTCTCTTTCTAAAATAAAATAAAAAAAAAAATTAGCCAGAACTTGCAAGAAGTAAGATGATTTTGAGCAGTGGAGTAATGTGATCAAATGAAATATTTTGAGAGTTGATTAGCTCCAGTATGTTTGGGGCAGGGGCAGCTGGTTAAAATGAGACTGGAAGGCCAACTGGAAGGTGAATTTAGTAGTATAAAGAAATTTTGAAGCCAGGTATAACAATGAAAACAAAGTGGGGAAATAACAATATATAAAGAGAAGAAAGATGGAAAGAATGGTAATATCATCAGATATTATAGAAAGTTCAAATAAGGTGATATTTTAAAAAATTTAGTGAATTTTAAGGGTCTGGAGGTGAATTCAAGATGCTCCTTTTTTCTTTACTGAAGTATTGACATACAGTATTCATCAGGTGTACATCATAGTGATTGGCTATTTCTTTACATTATGAAATGATCATCTCAATAGGCATAGTTACCCCTTGTCACTACACAAAGTTATTACAGTGTTGACTATATTCCCTATGCTGTACATTACATCCCTATGACTTATTTATTTTATAACTGGAAATTTGTTCTTCTTAATCTCTTTAACCTATTTTTCCCTCTTCCCCCCAGCCCCAATCCCTTTCCACTCCATTAATAGTTTGTTTCCTGTATCTATGAGTCTGTTTTGTTTGCATTGTTTTTTCGTTTTCCACAAATAAGTGAAATCATATAATATTTGTCTTTCTTTGACTTACTTCACTTAACATAATACCCGCTGGGTCCATTCATGTTGTCAAAAATGGCAAAATTTCATGTATAGCTGAATAGTATTTCATTGAATATATTTATACCACCTCTTCTTTATCCATTCATCAGTAGACACTTAGGTTGCTTCCATATTTTAGCTATTTTAAATAATGCTGTAGTGAACATAGGAATGCATGTATCTCTTTGAGCTGTGTTTTGGTTCTCTTTCCATACATACCTAGAAGTAGAATTGCTGGATCATATGGTAGTTCTATTGTTAATTTTTTGAGGAACCTCCATACTGTTTTCCATGGTGGCTGCACCAATTTACATTCTGAAAAACAGTGTACAATGGTTCCCTTTTCCCCACATCCTCACCAACACTTGTTATTTCTTGTCTTTTTCATAATAGCCAATCTGACAGGGGTGAGGTGATATTTCATTGTAGTTTTGATTTGCATGAGTGATACTGAACATGTTTTGTTGTATCTAATGGCCATCTATCTTCTTTGGAAAAATGTCTATCCAAGTTTTGCCCACTTACACATTTTTTTAATAGTAAGTTGTGTAAGTTTTTAATATATTTTAGATATTAACCCCTATTGGATGTATGATTTGCAAGTATCCTCTCCCATTCAGTAGGTTGTCTTTCTGTCTTGTTGATGGTTTCCTTCTCTTTCCAAAAGCTTTTTAGTTTGACGTAATTTCTTTTGTTTGTTTTAGCTTTGTTTAACCTTGCCTGAGGAAAATGACTCAAAAAATATTGCTAAGATTGGTGTTCAAGAGCTTACTGCTTATGTTTTCTTCTAGGAGTTTTATGGTTTCGAGTCTTTTTTTTTTTTTTTTT